TCCTTACTAAGGATTTACCCATCAGCTATTTCAAGAGAGTCCTTCAGGGCAGGCTCTTCTTTTACAGCGCCCACCACATCTGCCCAAAGCCCTCCTTCTCCCCGACCTGCTGAGAGCAGGGTTAGAAAAGGAAATGAATAAAGCGGATACAAAAAACTTCCTGCATCTTACTTTTTTCTCTGCCTAACTCAGTGTTGTTCTATCGATTTCAACAAAAGGAACCGAATGAAGGGTGCTCTGTGAACTGTGGAGTGCTCTACAAATGTAAAGTGCGATATATTCACCCTACCTTCACATGCCCTGGGGTTCAGCTGAGTTACTCTGTGAACGAAAGCAAAGGTGTTCCAAGTAGAGCACGCCACGTTTGTGCTCGGAGTGAAGGAAGAGTAAGGCCCCAAATAATATGAATTTGGCTCGGGAAATGTCTACTTGTCATTACCGCCCAAACCCAGCTTGAGTTCAACAGGTCGTGAGCCAGTAAGACCGGGTATTGGCCTGAACACCCCCAATTTAAAACTCTCTCTAAGAATGTTCCCTTCCTCCAGCTCCCTGGAGGTTTTAAGTTGTTGCAAATGCCGTCCCCGACTTTCAAACGGCCCCTGCCCTGCGCCCTCCCTTCCCGACCTCTCCGCTTCCTGGTGGTCCCAGCCCTCCGACCCCTGCCCCGCCCGCCTGCGGAGGACTACAAGTCCCGGCGTGCCGCGCGCGCGCCCGGCCGGCTGCACCGGGGTTGGGCGCGTGGCGGCCGCCGAGCTCTGCGCGGGGGAAAGCCTCCCGGCGCCGGCCATGCGGGGAGGTAAGTGATACGCTCGTGCTGCGAGGGCACTGGGAACGCGGCCACTCTCTACCCTCTCCAGGATTAAAGGAAACGAAGAAAACCACAATAAAAACCGCCCTGCCCTCCCTCGTCACTGCTGTGTGTCCGGTGCTCCCGCAGCTTGTTGCACCCACGAGCGTGGAATGTGTCACCCTGGAGTGGAACTGGGGGCAGAAGCGTGCCGGGCTCCGCCGAGAGCTGCGGCTCGCCGGGCTGCGGGGCAGAACTCGCAGGATGGGACTGGGTGGTGGCACAGCGCGGCTGGGCGCCCAGCGAGCGCCACACCCCCACACTCCCTTTCCACAGACGGGCTCCCCGGGGAGCCCCCAAACTCAAAGACGAACGGTTTCTTTTTGAAAGTCTTAGAAACTTTCCCCTCTTGTCGCCGGTGCCACCAGCGAGTCGTTTGTCTATCGGACGGCGCCGCTCATCCAAGAGGCTTCCAGGCGTCCCCTCTCCTGCCTTCAGTCTTGCCCCACCGCTCGCTCTCCAGGCCGCTCCTCCCTCTCCCCTGAGACGCCCTTAGGGACGCGGTGAGCACAGCCCTGCCCTCCGGCGACTTCTCGAGGTTTCTTCGGCAGCCACGTGGACCCAGGTCTGCACTCTGCAATGTGGGCTGGACACTCCTGCGGGCCGGTTCCCTGACGGGAGGCAGGGCGAGTGGGTCCTTTGGGATACCGCCGGTTCTCGGGGTGGGGGCTGGGATGGGGGGATGAGTCCTGTACAATAAAAAGCTCTATCAGAGGCACCAGCTTCCCGCCCTTGCTGACTCATCTCCCCTCCTCAGCCCATTCTCAAGTGTGCCCGAAAGTTCTGCCTCAGAATCCCAACACGAGGATCTCCCAAGTTATTCTAGCGCATCCCATAATATCAGAATAATGGATCAGAAGATCTTGTTTGTCTCTCTCACCCTGCACTTAACACACTACACACCCGCGCCCATAAAAACGCACCATGCACTCTACGCTCTACACACGCCACAAACACATACCATACGTATTACACAGCATACACATCACATAAACATACATTACATACACACATTTTGTTTATCCTACAGGCTGTATACACATACCATATACAATATACATACGCATCATTTTTATTAAAATGGAGAAGAGAGTTAAATCAGTTTGTTGTAGAGAGTAAGGAGGAAGTGGGTGAGTACCAGTATATATATTTATACCCACAAATGTCGATTTATTCCAAAGTTGGAAACTAGCTGATGAGTGAAACCTGCCCTTGTTAGAATTTAGAATGCTTTCTAGGCTCTTTTTTCCCCCATAAAATGGGATTGATTTCCTACATCACCTTCTGAAACCTTTACCCTTATCTAACAGGCAAACTTAATCACAGCAGAGGAGAGAGAAGGAGATGTCCTCTATGTGTAGGAAGAAAATTTTGGAGAAACTTCACAGAAACCTTCCTCCTGTAGGGGTGTTTAAGGAAAAGTTACGTGTAACTAGATTTTCTTTGCCTCTCCTTTCAAGATTCAGAGCTGACCTGATTTTGTTCTGAGCCATTGGCATGACAGTGATGTTGAGACACGTTTCCCATCCATCCTTCCCCCCAGGACTCACACCCCAGCCCATCTGAATTCAGTTGGAGCACATTTCAGGAATTTCAGACCAACTCCCAAAGCATTATGAAATCTGTTGGTGAAAGGGCTCTCTATCTCCAGAAGAGTTCATCATTTTGATCAGTGGTGATAAGACTCCCCTGTTTGACCAGACTCAAAAAAATGGTCCTCAAAAATAAATGAACACTTAGAATTTGTCCCTAAATTATTGTTGTTATTATTATTGTTGTTTATAGAATTTGTCCTTAAATTATCATTTGCTTTTTCAAAGGAGGGATGGTGAAGATGGGCAGAGAGAGCATTTGAAATCTTTCTCAGTGATGATCTTTCATGAAGTTGAACATTTCTAATATCCTTCTTGGAATAAATGAGGGGAAAAGAAATTTGACTTTGAAATTCAGGTTGCAAATTTAGATTATAATTTCTGATCTTCTTCTAGGGCCCTTAAAAAATTATTAAAGAAAAGGGAGACCTGTTACTTTCTCCTCAATTCTTCCTGAATTCTACGCAGTCATACAGCAGCAGATGATTTTTTTTCTCTACAATCCTTCTTGGGAACCTGTATTCTTTCTGCCCTATCTTAAGTAGTTTAGTTGACATCTTGACTTAAAAGTGTCCAAATATTGATTGTTGTTTCTTTTGATGAAAGCTATGCATGCTTTCTGTGTATCTATGGCATATTTGTGGAATGGGAATGTTTCCATTCAGCCGTGGTTTCCAGCCAAGCAAGGGAACTGTGAGATTGACCAGGGTAAATTAAAAGATCATGCCTAGTCTCCCTATGCCACCTTCCCATTTCCTGAATGGGCGGAGATACTATGAATTTGGAGGTTGGCATAGTATCTTCTTTTTCATATGTAACTAATATAGGACCTGGTGCTCATGGATAGTGTTAGTTAGATTTGTTGAATTACGCTTTGTATGCAACTGGAATAAACAGTTAAGATTAAACCTCCCAGAACTAATTGTTTTTGTAGAATGAGATTTGTTTCATTTTTCATTTTGGCTGACTTTATATGGTAGGTTGAATGCCAAAATAAAAGAATGTAGGTGTTCTCAAAAGATCTGGTCATCCACTTTGCATCCTCTGAAATATGTTACTTCCTGCATAACGAAGAAAAGGATTTTCTGCTGGGCAGTGCTTTCCTTATTCTTAAAGAGATTGCTTAAAAGCCAGCCCTGGGAACTTTGTCCATGAGTCTCTGTTAGGAAGAAAGTGTAACACAGGTCTGCAGCTCCTGAGTATTTACTGATTGTAGCCAGTAGTGCTAGGTTCTTTCTCTTATTTTCTCTTGTTTTTTTCTCCCATGGGGGAGAAAAATAGTTTTCAAAACATGACATTCCTGCTCAGAACAACAGCAAGGATCTATCATGCAGCAACCATGAAGGGGGTGGGGGGAGAGAGTAAATAAGAGGCTATCGATACTGCAGGTTTTCTTTACAAGACAGGTGCAGGGAGAATTCTGCAGTTCTTGGACTCCTGATTCATTCACTTCCACTAATTGTGCTGAAGGTAGTTAGCAAAAGTGAACAGGCACACTGTAGCTTTAAAAAGTCAGCCATGAACCAGAAGGCAGTTGGTGCAGCTTGTGTGTGATTCCTAACGTCATGTTGGCTGAGAGCCAGCCTGGTTTTATTTCACTGTGTCAAATTGTACCTCCTTATTGAATTCCTTTGCCAGCCTACTTTGTGAAAGAAAACATTGGGGTTTCTTTGGCTGCTCTTGATAAGCCTATAAAAAATGACATGTTTTAGTTGCTTCTAGGTAGGTTTTCTTTTTACTCTTCCACAAAAAGAAAATAATAATAGTAATAATAATAATAATAAGACAATGTAGTATGGTGTTACAGAGTATCATTGTTAGTGTTTAGTTTTGTTTTGTTTTTTCTGAGATGCTTAGAAAATGGTGAATGTGTAACAGTTTCCAACTGAAGTGAAATCATTCTTTTGGCATGGAGCAGCAGCACTATCTTCTGTCTACTCTGTAACGGTGTGTGAATGTATGTTAATATCTATATGTCTATTAAATGTTGGATTTCTCTATGGATGATCTAAGTGGTTTAGCAACTGGAAGTTTGTGTGTGTGCGCGTGCACGTGTGTGTGTGTATGTGTGTGTATCAGAAGTGAAGATTATCCCACACTTAACAGTATTATTTGTTAATCATCTACTTCTCGAACAGTGATAAAATCTTGTGAATATACTAAATGATGCACTTGTCATGTCAGAGTAATCCCTAGAGAAGGAGTGCCGAAGTATAAAGTAATTTGAGAGGAAATGTATTTAATTTATGGCTTCAGCTGTAGAACAAGCACGTTTCAGAACTAGTTTTTTAAAGCAGTTTTGTTCATAGCTTTTTCATCTTGCTAATTGCATATTAATTGTGGAGGGTTTTTTATTTTTTCACAGTCCTCATCCTACTAAACAAAAAGACAAAGTGATAGATGCTACTATAACTCCTTGGACGTTTTGGTGATTTTTACGTAAATCTAGTGAGCTGCCTCCCCTCTCTTACACACACACACACACACACACACACACACACACATACATGCACGCACACACACACCCCAGCACCAACCTTCTGTGCTAAGGGATATCTGACATTTTTGTGAGCTTCCAGCTTTACCACAGCGTGGCCATCTCACAGACAGGTTTTGAGGCTTTCGTTGAGCATATGTGAGGTAGGGGAATACTTGCTGACAAAAGCTTTAAGTGCTTTTTTGCATTGCAATGAAAAAATAGAAGGTTTGTGAGTGAACAAACAAACAAAAAAATACAATTAAAAAAAAAAAAGAAATCCTAGCCCCTGGTCTGAAGGGGCAGGAAAAGGGTGATTGTTTTTCTTGACTTTGACTCATTTATGAGTTGCAATGTCTTAAGTGAGAGCTTGGCACCCAGGGGAAGCTGTGCCAGTTCACACAGCACTTGTTTTGAAGGAGGATTCAATTTCATTTGTAAATGCTTATTGTCAAAGCAGGGAGTGCCAGTACAGATGAAAGCACCCCAATCCGCCTCCTCCAGTTCTTTAGGTTTAATCACATCTCTCCTATCGCTGAGGGAACTGGAGGTTTAAACAAACATACGTGAACTGGTGTGAAGCTGTAAAAGGGACCACTATGTTTCCGATTCAGAATATATATTCTTCTCTCACTTTCTAAGAATTAAACACAAGCTTTTCTCCCTTATTGATTAGTTGCTGAAGTAAAGGAACCCTGCAGCCTTCCCATGCTATCTGTTGACATGGAAAACAAGGAAAATGGCTCTGTCGGTGTAAAAAAGTAAGTGAAACTGGCTTGTGAGTTCTGCTTCTGCAAACAACAGAGGGACTTGGTTTCTATTTTTATACTTCTTGCTTATCTACTACAATATACTGTTTGGGGGTGATTTTGCGTGGTCTGCACTGGCCACCAGACTCCCTCCCCCTCCCCCCACAACCCCGGTTGCCTTTTTCTTTATTCCATTTCTAAGACAGAGATGTCTCAGGCATCAAACTGTGCATAAAGGGTTAGGGCGTCAGGCTTTGGAACAGGGACCATGGAGGATCTCAGCCCCGCATTCTGTATATTGAAACAAAACACTGAGCAAACAGACTCTGCCTTCTAAGTCCATTGGCTACAAGGGTGGGGGCAGAATAGAGAATTCGAGTCTTTTTAAATAAAATCACCTCTATCAAAACTGAGACCTTTAGTAAAGGAAAGAAAAAAGCTTTAGTTAGAATACAAAGTTGAACAACTGTGTCCTAACTGATCCTTGAATGTGAAACATTTCAGTATATAACATAGTGTATTTTCATGTCTGTTCTCACATTTGAAACTGTGGTGAATTATACGCTTGATTCTTTTAGAAAGGAAAATTTAGTTGCATTATGTAGCATATTCTGAAACATGCTACATATTTCAGGGTAACTTGTAGGATATCTGTGAGTATATAAAAAATATGTATATCCCTATTTAGATGTTATTTTGAAGCTACAACCACTTGGACTACCAGGAAAGTAAGTTCCAAGAGAGTGTTATTGTTCCATTTTTTCCACATCATTTAGTTTAAAATTGCCTTCAACTTGAGCTTTGGAGAAAAGTAATTAAATAAATAATGCATAGAAGTTATGATATCTAAATGAGGGAATAGTGTGCTACATGATTGTGAGTAGAGGGTATATTTTGCTTCATAGCGAAGTTACATTAAAATAAACTTAATAAAATCTGCTTTTAAAGATTCTTGGGTAATGTATACATCAGTGCCATGCTGGCATGTTTATCCCATTCTTGAAGTTTAGGGTTGTTAAATACCGGAGAAACAAAAGAAAGAGATGCGCCTTTTTTTTTTCCTTTATGAGTTAGATCAGTGCTCTCCAGTAAGTCTAGTACTTTGAACAGTGATGGAAATGTTCTTCACTTGCGCTGTGCAAAATGGTAGCCACTGGTCACATGTGGCTGTTTAAAAATTTGCAATGTGACTAATGTAACTGATAATTGAACTTTTTTTTTTTTAAAGATTTTTATTTTATTTATTTGTCAGAGAGAGAGAGGGAGAGAGAGCAAGCACAGGCAGACAGAATGGCAGGCAGAGGCAGAGGAAGAAGCAGGCTCCCTGATGAGCAAGGAGCCCGATGTGGGACTCGATCCCAGGACGCTGGGATCATGACCTGAGCCGAAGGCAGCTGCTTAACCAACTGAGCCACCCAGGCGTCCCGATAATTGAACTTTTAAGCAATTTTAAAAGTTAACAGCTTTATTGATATGTAATTGACATGTAATAAACTGCATGTATTTAAAGTATAAAATTTGTAAGTTTTGATACTCGTATATGCCTGTGGAACCATTACCACAATCAAGATAACCACCCAAATTTCCTTGTAACCCTTTATAATCTCTCCCTCCTGTTCTTCCCTGCCACCATATCCCCAGGCAACCACTGATATACTGTCTGTCATTGTAGATTAGTTTACTTTTTCTAGAGTTTTATATAAATGGTATTATTCAGAATGTACCTTTTTGAGGGGAGTGTGGGGGGTGTGGTTTCTTTTACTCAGCATAATTAATTTGGGATTCACCCATGTTATAGTGTCTATCAGTAGTTCATTACTTTTTATTACTGAGTAATATTTCATTGTATGGATATACACCAATTTGTTCACTGTTTATCCATCCATTTGCTGATAGACATTTGGGTTGTTTCCATTTTTTAGGTATTACAAATAAAGCTGCTTTGACCCTGTGTACAGGTCTGTGTTTGGACATATGCTTTCATTTCTTTTGGATATATAGGAATGGAATGACTGGGCTATCCGGCAGGTATATATTTAACTTTTTAAGAAACTTAGAAATTGTTTTCTCAACTGGTTGTTATTTTAAATACCCACCAGCATTGTATAAAAATTCCAGTTGTTCCATATCCTCATGAACTTGGTATGATCAGTCTTTTTCATATTTGATATTATAGTTTGCATTTTCATTTCCCTAATGACTAAAGATGTTGAGCAACTCATGTGCTTATTTGCCATCCATACATCTTTCTTAAGTAAAATATGGTCCAAATCTTTTGCTCATCTTTTTTATTGGGCTAGTTATTTATGTCTATTTTGTAGATAATTTTTGTATATTCTGGATACAAGTCCTTTATATACATGATTTGATAATATTTTCCAGTAGTATGTGACTTGTCTTTTCATTCTCTCTAAGGTGTCTTTCAAGGTGTAGGAATTTTTAATTCCAATGAACTCCAGTTTATCAATTTTTTATTTTATGAATAATGTTTATCTTTTTATTTTATTTTATTTTATTTTAAAGATTTTATTTGTTTAGTTGACACACACAGAGAGAGAGAAAGAGGGAGAGAGACAGCAACAGAGGGAATGCAAGCAGGGGGAATGGGAGATGGAGAAGCAGGCTTCCTGCTGAGCAGGGAGCCTGATGCGGGCTCAATCCCAGGACACTGGGATCATGACCTGAGCCAAAGGCAGATGCTTAACAACTGAGCAACCCAGACATCCCTATCTTTTTATTTTTTTAAGATTTATTTATGTATGTATTTATTTAAGACTATGCACAGACATGTGAGAGCAGGGGAGGGGAGGGGCAGAGAGAGAGGGAGAGAGAATCTTAAGCAGGCTTCATGCCCATGACAGCCCAACATGGGGCTTCATCTCATGACCCTGAGATCATGACCTGAGCCAAAATCGAGTCACATGCTTAACTGACTGAGCCACCCAGGCGCACCATGAATAGTCCTTTTAGTGTCATGTCTAAGAATATCTGCCTAACCTAAAGTTGCAAAGACTTACATTTTCTTAGATTTGGGACTGTGAGTTTTGAGTAAATTTTTGTGTATGTTATAAGATAAAGATTAAATTAGTTTCTGTTTGTGGTGGTGGTGGTAGGATTTTTTTGTCTATGAATATCCAATTGTTCCCACACTGTTTGTTGAAATGTTCCTGCAACTTTGTTGAAAAATAATTGACTATATATGTGTGGATCTGTTTCTGGAATTTTTATCCCATTCATAATTTTGTATATATTTATGCCAATATAACATAGTTGATAACTATAGCTGTATAGCAAATCTTGAAATCAAGTAGTGTTATCTATTTAACTTTGTTCTTTTTTAGACTTGTTTTGTCTCTCCTAGGTTCTTTGCATTTCCAAATGATTTTTAGAATCAATTTGTCAATTTCTACCAAAAACAAAAACAACAACAACAACAAAAACACCTGCTGGTGCTTTGATGACATTGCATTGAATTATATAGATCAACTTAGGGAGAATTGATCTAACAGTATTGGGTCTTCCAACCCATTAACACAGTATTTTTCTCCATTTACTTAGGTCTTCTGTAATTTCTCTCAGCGATGTTTTGTAGTTTCCCATTTGTATGTCATGCACATCTTTTGTCAGATATATCCCTACATAATTTTATAATTTCATGCTATTATAAATGGTATTGCTTCTTAAATTTTAATATCCAATTGTTTTTTTGATAGTATATAGAAATACTATTGATTTTTGCATATTGACCTTATACTCTACAATCTTGATAAACTCATTTATTAGTCTAGTAACTTTTTGGTAGATTCCATTAGATATTTAACATAGATAATTATGGGGGCACCTGGGTGGCTCAGTTGGTTAAGCGTCTGCCTTTAGCTCTGGTCATGATCTGAGGATCCTGGGATTGAGCCCCGCATCAAGATTCCTGCTCAGTGGAGAACCTACTTCTTCCTCTCCCTCTGGTGATCTCCCTGCTTGTGCTCTCTCCCATTCTCTCTCTGTCAAATAAATAAATAAATATTTAAAAAAAAATAGATAATTATATCTTGTAAGTAAAGAGAATCTGACATTTTCCTTCCCAATGTGAATGTATTTTATTTTTTTACCAGCTTTATTGCACAGAATAGGATCTCCGCTAACAAGTTGCATAGAAGTGGTGAGATTAGACAAACGAGTTTTGTTTCCTGAGGGAAAACATTTAGTCTTTTTCCTATCTTTCATTTTCTATATGTGTCTCTTTTTTGTCTGCCTTTAAGATGTTTTTATCATTGATTTTAAAGCAATTTGATTATGAGATGTGGTATAGTTTTCTTCATCTTTCTTGTGGTTGGAATTTTGTTTCGTTTTGTTTTTTGGCTCTATCGGCTGTTTTCATCAAGTTTAGAAGTTTTCCAGGCATCATTTTTTGGTTTCCCTCATTCTTCCTTTGGTGATTCCAATTATAGTGTATTTGATCACTTGATATAGTGCCACAATTCACTAATGCCCTAGTTTTTTTTTTCATTCATTTTTCTCTGTGTTTCGTTTTGGATGGTTTCTATTGTTTTGCCTTCAAGGTCACTAATCTTTCCTTCTGAAATGTATAATCTATTGTTAATCCCACTCACTGTATTTTCCATTTCAGACAATGTAGGTTTCATCTCTAGAAGTTCAAATTTCGTCTTATTTTTATATGTTGATATCTCTGCTTAACATTTTTAGTCTTTCCTCTTGCTTCTGAACATAGGAAGTATAGTCATTGTAACTGTTTCAGTGTCCCTGTCTACTAATTCTGTCATTTCTCAGTCCATTTCAGTTGACTGATTTCTCAGTGAATGGGTTATATTTTTCTACTCCTTTTCATACCTGATAACTTTTTTTTTTAATTTATTTGTCAGAGAGAGAGCGTGCGTGCAAGCGCACAAGCAGGCAGAGGTGGAGAGAGAAGCAGGCTCCCTGCCGAGCAAGGAGCCCAATGCGGGACTCGATCCCAGGACCCTGGAATCATGACCTGAGCCAAAGGCAGCAGCTTA